GGGGGGGGGGGGGGGGGGGGGGGGGGGCCTCAGGATTGTCACACCCGGGGGAGTGGTCTCTTTGCTCCCCCTCCCACCCCTCTCCCTGGACACCCTGGCCTGGAGCTGGCAGGAGATTGGGAAAGAGCCCGTGTCAGGGGCCTTCTGGGTACCATTGTCAAGGTCCTGTGATGAGGGCAGCGTGGGTCTGCGTTCTTGGGATTCTCACTCCGTGGCCAGTGCCCTGCTGTGGTCAGACGCCCTGGGTGGTCCTCACTGCCCCTGGGAGGAGCTGATGGCCCTCAGCCTCACGGGGCTGGGTCACCCGTGGCCCAGGCCACAGCCCAGGGCAGAAAGCAGGCACGGGGCACGGGTCTGGGCACCCGGCTTTGTTCACACGAGGTTCTCCTGGGGCTCTAGGACACACTGCGAGGTCAGGCTGTCTGTCTCCTCAGGCCATTTGGTTTGTTAGCTGGTGTTGGGAGGAGGTATACGTTCCCCACAGGCTGGGGAGGGGCGTCCCTGAGCTTCTCTGCTGGCTGGAGGGCGCTCTCTTCTCCCCGTCGAGCTCCTGCTGAGGCTCCGTGCTCAGGACCCGAGTCACGTGACTGTCGGCCACTGACCCCCGTCTGGCTCAGCCACGTGGTGTGGGTTTCTCCTGGATCGCGGGCACCATGCTTCCTCAATGAAACCTGGTAAGGACTCTGGTTTGGGGAGGCTGCACGGGAGCCATCGCAGACAGAAGGAAGGGTGGTGTTCTCCATGAGCCAGCGGTTTACTTGACCCAGGATCACATCTGCATGTGCACACATGTGCACGTGTGTGTGTAAGCACACGTGTGCAGGTGCACGGGTACACATTTGTGTGTGTGTGTGTATGTGTGTGTCTGTGTTTAGGACACAAAGGCTGAGTTTCAACAGCTCGAGCCAGGCAACGCTTTCCGAACACTAACCCGCTGTGCTGCTCCCAGACTCACTCCCTGGACGCCTGTGCCTGAGGCCCAGAGCCACTCAGCCAGTAAGCATCAGGGCTGCCGTTTGTATTCCCCTGTGGTTCTGTGGGTCTAGAAACTTCCAAATCTCTAGAGCACAGGTGTGCTTGTGTGAGTGTGGTCACTGCTGCCGAACTGCCTGCTTGATTGCCCAACAGACTGGTGGAGCTCGTGCCCTTTGTCACCATCAGTGCTCACTTTGTCACAGTGGGGATCGTTTCAGCTCCAGGCTTGGGCTTGTGGCTGCGGGGTGGCCCTTGGACAGTGGCTTGCCCTCTCTGAGCCTGTTTCCCCACCTCCTTTCTGAGGTTGCTGTGATGCTGCAAGGTGGTGGGTCAGCAGGGCCCCTGTGCAGTGCCAGGTACACGGTAGGTCTCCTGTAAGTGACAGCTGTCATTACGGGTAGGGTGACTACACTCGCTTAGGGTCTGCTGGGGTGGCCCAGGTTAGCACCTGTTGTTCCAGCCCAGTTATTAACATTGCCCCCCTTGCCTCTCAGAATTGTCCAGGTTAGGGAGTTAAATTCTGCGGGGAGTCTAGTTTGGGGCCCCTACTCGGCACGTCCGACAATCTGTGGTCAGGGTGGGATGCTCCAGTGCGGGCAAGGGCGGGTCCCCTGAGAAATCTTGCCGTCGGTTCCCTCTGCTCCACTTCCGTTCATCGTGATGCTTGGAGGCTGGGCCCGTTGGTCACACCTGCACCCCTTCTGCCTTTTTTGGTCTGTTTCCTCCAAAGGAGTAGAATCTTGACTGGGGAAGGACATAAAGAATGTCTGTGTCCCAGCCTTTTCCTATGAGGGCATAAGAGCACGTGGACCCCATCCCCATCTCCCAAGGCCACCGTTGGGCCTCTTGATGACAGTCACGAGAAGGTCAAGAGAGTAACAGCAGTGGGGACTCCCCCAGGAGTCCAGGGGGGCAGTGGCCGGGAGGCTGGGGGCCTCCCTCCCCCACTGTGGCCACTCTCCTCAGCCCTGGAGCCCAGAGACGGTGGAGCTTCCCTTGGGTGGCATCATCCTCAGTCTAGTGGTCCATCCAGGGGAACACTCCCGGGTAGGGCCACCCGCTGTCGTTGTTGCCAAATGGACCCAGGGCACAGTGTCCGGGAATTGCGTGCACATCTGTCATATGTCACAGTTCAAAGAGAGAATGGTGCCCAGCATAGAAGTCTATCCTCAGCAGAGGGAGGCTGTACAGGTGAGTGAGTGAATGAATGAATGAATGAATGGATTCGATTCCCTCTTCAATCCTGTTCATCACTGTTTCCTTCCTCCCGGCCCCGTGCTATCCCCTGCAGAACCAGGGGTGGACGGCGTGATTGGGGGCGGGGGGCGCCACCCGGTAAGACGGACTGTCTGACAGGCGCCTGCCCACAGGACCCTGCAGAGCCCGCAGCGCTGGCCCCCGCCCAGGTCCAGGGCGAGGTGGGTCCTGAGTTCGTTCCTTCCAAACACGCACACAGCAGTCAGCCCTTTGGGCCTCTCAAGGCGTTAGTAACAGTTTGTAGCCTGGTGGAGCCGCCTTGACGGATTCTTTTCCAACTAAATGGGTGTCGTTGGCTGCTGCGGCTATTCTCCAGCACCTCCTGCCAGCAGGATATATTTAAGTGCTCATAAAATATAAGGTGCAATTCAAATAAAGCAAATTACTTGAGAGAATAATAGCTATAGATACGGGGTCAGGAAACAGTTAAAAAATAAACTACTCAGGCAGTTCAGTGAAAGCCATCACTCCG